AGCAGTTCAATCCTGACCGGGCTCAAGGTTGACTCAGCCTTCCATCCTTCCGAGGTGGGTAAAATGAAGACCCAGATTGTTGAGGGCAAATAGGCTGACTCTTTAAACTTCTTAGAGAGGGCTGTAAACTACTGTAAAGTGGTATATAAGTCTAAGTGCTATTGCTATTGCTATGGTTAACTCTGTCCACTGCCAGTAGTTCAATCCTGAGGCTGAAGTTGACTCAGCCTTCCATCCTTCCGAGGTGGGTAAAATGAAGACCCAGATTGTTGGGGGCAAATAGTCTGACTCTTTAAACTGCTTAGAGAGGGCTGTAAACTACTGTAAAGTGGTATATAAGTCTAAGTGCTATTGCTATTGCTATGGTTAACTCTGTCCACTGCCAGTAGTTCAATCCTGAGGCTCAAGGTTGACTCAGCCTTCCATCCTTCCGAGGTGGGTAAAATGAAGACCCAGATTGTTGGGGGCAAATAGTCTGACTCTTTAAACCGCTTAGAGAGGGCTATAAACTACTGTAAAGTGGTATATAAGTCTAAGTGCTATTGCTATGGTTAACTCTGTCCACTGTCAGCAGTTCGATCCTGACCATCTCAAGGTTGACTCAGCCTTCCATCCTTCCCAGGTGGGTAAAATGAGGACCCAGATTGTTGGGGGCAAGAGGCTGACTCTGCAAACTGCTTAGAGAGGGCTGTAGAGCACTATAAAGTAGTATATAAGTCTAAGTGCTATTGCTATTTAACTTAATAGGTCTCTTGGTGAACAGTCTGCTTTAATTTCAGTTAGGGTTGGACGATAGGTTCCTCTTACGGCCTGTCAACCATTTCTTCCATCATTCATGGTCATTTTTTTTTATATCTTTCAGCCTTTTTGGTGGCCCTGCTTACACAACCCTGTGTGCCAACGGGGAATACCATGGCCTTGGCCTTTGTTGTCAGTGATACCACTGGCCTTTAATAGTTTACTGGTGTTATATGCCCCAAAAGTGCTTTTTTCAAGAGGCCACTGGACATTCTGGGTTTTTCTTTGAAGAAGTTTCGCTTCTCTGAAGCAGAGCTGAAGAAGCTTCTTGGATTAGAAGAGAAACATCTTCAAAGAAAAACCAGAAAATCCAGGGGGCCTCTTGAATGGGGGGGGGGGAGGGAAGATGCACTGAAACTTTTCCTTACAATTTTATCCATCAATAAGTAGCCACGCTAGTTCAACGCAAACTCTCTGCCTTCAAAAGTGTGCAAATATTTTCAGGATCCCACTTTTTTTTTTTTAAAGAGTTCAATCCCCATTCTGAGTTCGAAGCGCCGCATTGTGCGAGCAAAACAGGCCTTCCGAATGCGAAAGGGGCTGCTTCAAATCATTTCAGAAGCATCTTGAGGTGGAAAACCCTCTTTTCCAATCTCTCCCCCCCCCAAAAAAAACCCCACTTCCGCAGTGATCCAAACATCCTATTTCACACTTAAACTGGTGTGTCAAATCTGCAAGGGCTTCAGTTCAAACCGTTTTTTTCATGTTTCTCGCGTTACACAGCAGACTAGCAAATTGAGGGGCCGAAAAAAGGATATTTTTGTATTGCTGAAACACTCTGGCTGTCCATTAGGTGCGTCTTCCATTCTCATGGCAGGAATTGTTGGTCTCTGTTCTTGTTTCATTTTATTTTTCTTCTTGTGGCCCACCAGTGGAGCTGGCAGTAGAGTTGGACAGTGAGGAGGTTGGGGAGGAACAAGGGCCAGTCCTGGAGTCTGGGGAAGGCTCGGACGAGGGCTCTGTGTCAGAGGCAGAGATGGGGCCGAGGCCGTCTGGCAGTGATCAGGTGCCTCTGGAGCTAGACAGCAGTGGGGCAGAGGAACAGCTGGAGCCTGTTCCCCGTGTGCTCATGCGCAGAGCTGCCTGAAGAAAAGAACCACTCAGAAATCAGGGTAGACTTGGGAGTAAAGTCACAGTCACAGATTGGCCCCTCCCATAGGAAATAAAAGAGAAGCGAAAGGGGAATGGGCTTTTGCAGGAAACAATTCGTTCATTCAGTCATTAGATTCATTTCAGGAGTGTGAAGATCTGTCCGTGAATCTCAGAGNTGGTATTTTATCCCGTGCCGTCGAATGATCTCACCCAGTGGTTTCATGTAGATATTTATGTAAAAGTTCAAGAAGTTTCTTTATTGCATGGTCACCCATGGACAAAATCTCACAAGACTAAAGCATACTCTGCATAACTATCTGATAAATGCTAAAAGAAATTAGGGAGGATCCCTCCTGGGCCACTTCCTGCACAGCAATGGTTCAAGATTTCTTTTTATTTTCTCCTCTGGTAGCTCAGCATCAGATTCCACCACACCACCAGACCACAAGTTCCCTACTAGAGCGCTATATGCTTCTTACTAATCCTGTCAAGAAAAGCTGTTTACCAGATGAAAATAAAAAAACCCCATTAAATCCATGCATGTAAGGGTAACTATTGGTCTGCAACTGAGAAAAGGTATAATTTCCCAACTGCAGAACATAGTCTTCTCAAGGAGGCCAGTTATATGTCAATTAGTAAAGAGGTTCTCGATATAAATTCTCAGATGTCTGGACAGAGGCTGCAATTGATTTTGACTTTTAAAGTCCTTTATGCTTTTGAAAAATGAAGTCCTGTGACTTTGAAGAATGCAAATTCAAGATTCCACAACCTTTTTTTTTTTTTTTTTACAAAATTGGAGCCTCAATCTGATTAAGAGCAATTTCCAGCTTCAGTGTCATGCATCACATGGCTTCAGAGCTATGGCATCTGCAGAAAGAGAGACTGCTGACAAACTGCTAGGAAATATGGTTTTGGAGTTTTAAAAAAATAGTTTCTTCAGAGCAATCATTCTGGACTGTTGTAATGGTTTTGCAACCCTGAAGAAGGTAATGAGAGACAATTCGGTTTAGTGATTAAGACACCAGACTTAGGTTACTCCAACTTTTTGGATTCTCAGCCCATTGATACGTACTGATATGGGGAAAATATGTCTTTTCTAAATAATGACTAAAATTCTAAACAAAACATATGGAATCTATATGAATTAAAGACTTGTTTTTCCACATTAAATGCAATGGTTTTGCAATGGCAAAAAAAAAGAACTTATTGTATACAATAACCTGAGACTCCAACAATATATATTAAACATACTTTAAAAGACATTTAATATATGAAGCAATCTTTAAATGAAGAGCAGAATATAAATGAAACAAATACAATTTTGAAAGTGTATTTTGAATCACAGTGATCTTTCTGCATGTCCCAACGTACTGAGCACAAGGGACAGAGAGATGCCAATTAATTTTTTTCCTGTTCCTTCTTTATCTCTCACTCTGGTTCATCTGCATGTTCTCTCTGCCTCATAAAAAGGTAGCCCATAAGCTCTTTCTCAAAGATCATCATGTATAATATAAGGCTCCAATTGCCTGGTCTACTGTGACGTAGCTTCTAGTACTTTCTTGCTCTGCACACAAAGTATTGCTGACTTCTTCTGCCAGAAGTGACACTGTGTGGTTTGTTCACTGCACTTCATTTCAAACACTTCTGCTCCAAAGGTCCACTGTGTGTGCTGGCAAGAATATCTCTCATCCTCTTGGATATTGGAAGCTACTCTTTATGGCCATTTTTGGAGTGTCTGCCCCTTTGTGAAAGAATCGTCCGTCCCCGCTCCCAATGATGGTTTAGTCTTTCTGAGGTAAAGTTGACAAGAGTTCTGCCAGTTTCTCCTTCTGGCTTACGTGACAAGAAAAGTAAAAGAATGGGTTCTTTTCCTCATGGTTCATGGAGGGATATGAAAAGCACAAGGAGGAGTCAGTAGAGGAAGATTCATACAGAAGTGTATCAGTGGAAATCATATAGCTTTAACAACCTGCCCTTGGATAGAAAAGTGATGGGTGCTTGCTTTCTTGCTAAAGAATTGGCCAATTGGGGATCATGGTAATGCATGTCTGAACAGCCTTGTTGCCAAAGCTAGGATACAGGATGAAATCTGGGCAGGGATTTCCTAATTGTTTTGCATGAGAAACAAGTGCATTAATGCCAGAGGTGGTATTCAGCCAGTTCAGACAGGTTCTGAAGAACCGGTAGTGGACATTTTGAGTAATTTGAAGAATCGTCAAATAGGCTGGCCCCGACCCTGCTGCCTCCCAGCCGATCTTCTTTTGTTGCCCTGAACCAGAGAATGGAGCTAGAAAACAGGTTAGAGGGGTGGGGAGGGAATGGGGATTTTGCAGTATTCTTCCCCTGCCACGCCCACAAAGCCACACCCACAGTAGTAAAAAAAATTGAATCCCACCGTTGATTAAGGCTGCTGTGCAGAAGAGTTTTGAATCTGCTCTTTTTCTGTGTCGCAGCTCATCACAGGGCTCCTTGCCTGTTGGGATGCTACCTAGAAACTAGGCACTACCTATTTTTCCTTTACATTTCCTGAGGGTTAGCCATTTGCTCATTTGCCACAAAGCCAACAAAAGATTGATAACATCTTATAAAGTTGACAGATTTGTTTAGCAATACCATGGCCAGGGATAAGCTTTCATGAACCCCAATCATTCAAATGTATGGAATGTTTGCCATAACTGTAAAAGATGGGCAAGCACACACACAAACACAGGAATCAAGTGTTAATGAAGTAAGTGTTCTTTTGTGATTATTTCCAATAGCCGAAGCAAGTAACATTGCTATGAAGAAAGCAGCTTTATAATTTTTTCCTGCTGAGTGTAGCTTATTTATTTCTCAGTGTCCTTCACAAAGATTTCCCTTTGCAATTTTTTAAAGATCTGTTGTATGCACAAAAACACAAGGATATACTTTGCAGATTCATGTAGGTGTTATCACTGTGTTGATTCGTTAAGATTCTTTCCATAATTTAGATAATGTCTTTTCCACTCGTTTAGCCAGTATACTGAGCCTAGTTGTTTCTCTTATCAGGAAGTTCCTGCCATAAAGAGATACCTGTGTTAGAGTTTGAGAAATGTTCTAAAACTACCCCACCCAATAAATTTCCATTATCTAGTGCCCTCCTGATGTGCTAATTTACATGTATTTATTTCTTCTTTGGCTGACTTAAGCAGCATATTGGAATCTAAAAACGGGAAAAATTCTGAAATTTGGAAATGTAGCAGCAACCAGGTTAAAATCAGATCAACAGCAATATTGAAGTTGATTATTGCTCCTAAGCATGTAATAGTAGTGGCAATCTTCCTGTCGTTGCTGTTTTTCCTTCAAACTGTAGCTGTTTCTATAACAGCACAAACAAAATTGCAAGGGATGGTAATCACCACTGACGGGTTATTGGGAACAGGTAGTTGTGATGTTGCGGAAATAGGAGTCAATGGAAGGTGGGACATCCCATTCTCCTACTATATCCTTGCCATGGTCACTACCAAAGTGGTACCCACTGGGAAAATAACAAGTCTTGTGTTGGGAAAAGACGAAAAACATTTTTACATCAATTCAGATAAATCCAAAGTTAGGTGGCCATGGATGGAAATGAGATAAAGGCTGCATCATGACAATGAAAACTTAAATAATGGTTTGTGAAGTCTCTTCTACCCAGTTAGGGGGATACGTTGAAATATGTTAAGAAAAGTAATGGATAAATAAGAGGGGCATTGAGAACCATTTGCTGTGTGAATTAAGGTCAACCCATGGCCCTATGTGTAAAAATCAAATCAGCCGAGTTTTATTTCAATAATAATGTTTCAGTATTGAGAAAAGGACACTTATTTTACCACATCTTTCGGCTGCAGGCATAAAATGTCATCAACATCTGTCACTTATGGCTTCTCAGTGTCCACCACTTGTGACAAAGTGGTCTCTCTGCCAAATAGTTTAATGGTCCTGGAGCTGTGGATAACCATCACCTGACATGACTTACCTTACTTTAAGAATATCTGGTGTTTGGGTAGCATTAAACAAATACTCGGCTGCATTAGGTGACACTTCATTTACTAATGAATATATATTGAATGCAATTGTATCAGGAATAACCAGCCAATCACGTCGAACATGTCTCTTTGAGATGGGTTTGGCTTCAGTTTCTGGAAAAGGCAAAAATCAAAATTAAAACTTCCTCTGAATGAGGTGCACATGTAGTCCTTGACAGACCACTGCAATTGTGATAGCAACCTCTGTTGCTAAGTGATGCAATTGTTAAATGAATCATGCCTGATTTTATAAATGAGTCATGGTTGATTTTATAACCTTTTGAGTTATGGGGTTGTAGGATGTTAAAACCCAGCCCTCTCCTAGAAAAATGAAAGATCCTAGGAAATATTGAAAAGGCAGAATATTATGTTTCCCTGGATGTGAAAAAGGAGAAATATTTTAAAGAGAAACTTCCTGCAGCTTCGTGCCTCCCCGCTTTTTGTCAATGGGCCATTAAGCTGCCAAGCCAGTATATTCACATAACAAAGACCCCTCCCTTCAGCTCCAGGGTGATGGAATCAAGGCATTTTAGTATAAGCCCTTCACCCAACTGACCACATGGCATCTGAGAATTCAACTAAACCTGGAATCAACCTAGAGAGTTGCCCCTGCATGGCCCCATAGGACTTTGACAACCAATCAGAATACATTTCTTACACATGAACAGGAAACAGATAGGTGGGGCCGAACAGATTATAAAAAGCCCTGCAAGCCCCTCCCTCGACCCTTCTTCTTCTCCCAACACCTGGAAGCATGTGATCACCTTTTCCCGCAGGACCTCAAGCCATGTGGTCCTGTCCACAATTAAAACCATCTTTCTAAGCAGCCTCCATGTTTCCAGTGTCTTTTTCCCCACTTGGAACTGAACCCAGAAGGACATTTCTTCCAACAGGGTCATTAAGCAAATTACACAATTTTTAAATGAATCTGGTTTCTTCCATTGACATTGCTTGCTGGAAACACGCCCCCCCCCCCCCGAAAGTCACAAATGGCAATCACATGACTTGGGGATGTTACAACTGATATAAATACATGCTGATTGCACAGTGCCTAAACTTTGAACAAGTGACAAAAGGGCAGTCATAAATGCAAGGACTGGTAGTAAATCACTTTTTATCACCAACATTTGGCACACAGATGGAGTCAAATCCTCCAAATCTCCCTAGAACCTTGTTCCAGTGAAAACCAGAGGCAGATCTCGAGGAAACAGGGTGCAGAGCTCCCTACCAAAGTGGACAGAACACCTACAGTACTTTGTTTTCCTCCAATATCTGATTAAAGTGGAATTTCCAGGAATTTTTTTCCCAGGTATCAGTTGGAACAGATAGCGTTTCTCTTCATTGGTTGTCCATTTTCTACAGGAACAGGAACAAATATTCTAGTGAAGAACTGTTTTTAGCAATTTTATTTATTTTTTAAATTTTTCTCTGTGTAATATAAGTTTTTGGTACAATTTAAGGAAAACGTTAATTTCTTTATTGAGAATTTTCATTGAATGCACTAATTTTGGATCCTGATCTAGCCTCTTTACAGGAAGTTTCCTTTTATTTTGTAGCAGATTGGTGCCATCTTGTGGTCTGCAGAATCTTTATTTTTACTTTTACATGCCTGTGGAGTTTCTCAGTCATCCAAGTCATGTCAAAAGGCAACTTCATTTTGTTTTTTTCCTTGAGGAAAACATTTCGCTTCTCATCCAAGAACTTTCTTCAGTTCTGGCTGAACGGTGTATGTGTAATAGGGGAATGGAAGGATTACTTTTCTTTGCAGTCATCTGGTGATTAGCACTCTCTCTGAGAGCCATTGAGGCCACTTGGGGGTTTATCTGTGCCCTCAAGGCAGAGGTGGGTTCCTACCAGTTCGTACCTATTCGGTAGAACCGGTTCGTCAAATCTACCGAACCGGTTAGAAGAGGTTCCACCAGTGGATCCAGAAAGCAGGCCACACCTACAGAAGAGGTTCCAAAATTTTTTGAAACCCACCACTGGTCCTTGGATATGATTATTCTACACTATCATGCTCATATTTATAAAACTCAGTGCCTCTGAAAGGTAAGGATGACTACTGCGTTTGTGGTGCAATCAGAACATTGCGTGTGTTGAAGTTGTTTTAACGCAAACCAAAGATGCCTTTTAAAAAACAAGTTTACATCATATTCTTATGCATGTCAGTACTGTGTGTGATGTAATTTAAGGTGGTTCTGACAAGTGTCTTTGGCATCTTCATATCCGGTCACATGGGCGGTAAGCCACTCCCACAAAGGACGCGACACCCACAGAGTAGGTTCGAACAATTTTTGAAACCCACCACTGCCTCAAGGTTACCTGAATCAAGAGTGTAAATGTGTATGGAATTTTCTTGGAACTGTGAAAGGACTGTGTTGTATATAGGAGATAGATGGTGTCATATTCCTCTTCATTGAAAGACGGCTATTCAATGTTAACATAGATGACCTCTTTTAGCCCTTTTTTTCCAAGTCCACATTCTTTGTCCAGAATATGGACTTTTGATTTTTAAATGTTTTCTTCTTTCATTTGTTTGTAGTTGCTGAATTCTCAGATTGGATCAGCACTGCAATTGATCTTTTCCAACATCAAACACCTGCACTGTAATGTTAACTACTATGTATTTTTCTACAATTATAATTTTCTTATTCCTTTATTTTGTGGCATTAAATTCTGTTCGAGGTATGTTGCTGAATTGGATCAGGTTTAAAGAGGTCAATAAGAATGATCAAAGGACTACAAACTACGTCTTTATGAAGGGAAACAGAAACAATTGGTAATATTTAGCTTAGGAAATAAAGAAATAATGAGGGCATACAATAGTATTCTTCAAATACCTGATGTTAGAAGAACGTCAAGGCCTACTCTCACTGGATCGTACTCACTGAATGGTACAGCAATTTCTAATACCGTGTTTCCCTGATAATAAGACAGGGTTTCATTTTCTTTTGACCCCCCCCCCAAAAAAAAATATGGCCTTGGCCTTATTATCAGGGGGAAAGTTTATTATTTTGGGGGTGCAGGAGATAGCGAGTGTGGTCACCTCGTGGCTGCTGTGTTGTGCTGCTGCGACAGCACAACACAGCCATTTGCCCCTGAGGCTGTGCCCACGTCCTCCCATCCCTGCATCAGGCTCTTCGGAAGCCCATTCGCAAGAGAGCAGCCACTCGACAACCCCCCCTCTCCAGTCGGGCAGAGCGCCACTCACCAACCCAGCGGTATCCTAAAGGCACCAAGCCATGCAAGTGCCTGTTCTTCCACAGCTCCCACAGCTTGGCGCCTTTGGAATACCACTAGGTCAGTGAGTGACGCTCTGCCTGGCTGGACGGGGGGGGGGGGTGTTGTCCAAGGGGCTTGTTTTCAGGGAAGGCTTATATTTTTGTCCACCCCAAAAATCTGGCATCGCCTTATATTCAGGACATGTCATATTTTCAGGGAAACACGGTAGTAATGTTAATTTCCCAGAGTCCCAGCTAGATATAGGATGACTTTTCTTATCTGGGAATGTTTATGTGAAGTGGATGGTCATCTGTGGGGATTCATTCATTTCGATTCTTCCACAGGGCAAGGAAGGGAAGACTTAATGGCCTAAGTGTGACTTTCCAACATCATGTCTGTATGATACCGTAATAATATTTGGATACATTGATTTTTAAAATATTATTTAATCACACGACAAGTCCTATTGTTGGAACAAAGTTTAAGCTATTTCTTGATTAATGTAATACACAATGCTGATCATTCTGCTTGAGCAGGGAGTTGGACTAGAAGATCTCCAAGTTCCCTTCCAACTCTTATTTATTTTTATGTTTTTCTGAAAAGTGTCTGAGCCTTATTTAGTTCATCAGTAACTAGGTATTGCAACAATAATAAATCACATACATTCCATACTTAATACCAGGACTTAACTTTAACTGAAAGCTGAGGCGACCTAGATTCAGCAAGCAAAACAACTATGAATGGAAGGCCCCCAATTCTTACCAGTCATCGTATGTGCAAGTAAAAGGATAAGAGCAAGCGATAAAGGCTTCAGCTGGAGCATAGTTTTGATCACTGTTTTGGTAGAGGCTGACAAATAGTTTTGCAGAGTACTGGAAAAAAATTATTAATGCTTAGCTATTTCATAAGGATAACATAATATCCTGATACAACCATAGAAAATATAGAAGCCAGTACTTTACTGAAACCAGACAGTACAATTTTGTGTTATGTCCCCACTGTTCAAATTATATCCATTGATAGATTCTGTTTCTTCACAATGTATATTGGAACTAGGCGTTTCTCTAGGTGCTGCTGATATACGTCATCAATTGAAGGAAAACGAGCTTCCAGTTTGTTCAAAGTCTTATACGTTGTTACCCAGGAAGAAATTCCCATTATGGTATATGCTATCTAGGGTTAAGATTGTCTATAAATTCTGCTAGAGTATAGGAACTAAGGTTCTTTAAACATATATAGTATTCAGGAGGAGACATATAATGCAAATGACAGAGACATCCATTATTTGTTGATTTGAAAAATACAGAATAACAGAATTGGAAGGAGGTCTTCTAGTCCAAGCTCCTCCCCAAGCTGGAAACCCAATACCATTCCAGACAAATAGCTGTCCAATCTCTTCTTTAAAACTTCCAGTGATGGAACATTCACAACCTTTGAAGGTAAGCCATTCCATTGATTAATTTTTCGGTCAGAAAATTTTTCCTTAATTTTAGGTTGGGTCTCTCTTTGATAAGTTTCCATTGCCTTGCCTTCTTGCCTTGCCATCAGGTACTTTGGAGAATAAGTTGTCCATCTCTTCTTTGTGATAGCCTCTCAAATATTGGAATGTCACCCCTAATCCCTCTCTCCATTAGACTAGACATCCAATTCCTGTAACTATTCATCATGTTTTGGTCTTCATCCTCCTAACCATCTTTGTTGTTCTTCCCTGCACTGTTTCTACAGTCTCAACATCTTTTTTGTGTCATGTTGATCAGAACTGGACACAATATTCCCATGGTGGTCTTACCAGGGAAATATATAGCAGTACTAATACTTCACATGAACTTGATATTATCAAGTTTGGTGCAGCCTAGGGTTGTATAGGCTTTTTTTGGCAGCTGCAGCACACGGCTGGCTCATACTTAAATAGCATAGTTCTAAAATAGTTCTAAAACTCCTGGATTCCTCTCACAGTTATTGCTATTGAGTCCACTACTTCCCACCATGTATGATGATTCCCCAACTACTACATTATTTTAAGGAGTGAGAGTACCCATAATACTGACTGCAGCACTGTGAAATAATAGATATGACATAAATTCAATACATCAGCAAATAAAATTCTTGAAGCACTTGAGAGCCTGGCACATTTACTATGGTAAAGTGTTTAGGTTTTTTTTTTTTTACAATAATCTACTTCATCAGATACATAAACTATTTCAAGAATTATGTGAAATCATAATTCTCGAAGGGCCAAAGGTTTGTAGCAATAAAATTAAATGAAGTGTCTCATGGATGGTAATTCATGTTTTGTGTTCAGCTAAGATTACTGTATCTTTCTTATTTCTCCAAGTAATTCAAAAGGCTCTGTGGGCTGTTCTCCACGTTTATCCTAATAATCCTGTAAGGTGTTTTAGAGAACAACTGTTGGCTTGAAATTACATAACAACAACAATGTCTAGGATTGAAAAATTATCTGAAACTACATCATCCTTGTTTTAATTTAAGTGCTATGTTTTAGGATATACATCGTAACTCAAACTGAGTATTTGTGGATTATTATTACTGTTCTGTTCTCCCCCTCCCACCCCTTGTCAACAAAATACATTTCTTTCATTACTCATTTGATTTATTCCATTTGCTCAGAGCTAGAATTATCACTTACCTCTTCACTGGGTGTTGTTACTTCCGATTCTGAAATACTGTATCAGCTGTCTTTCAGTCCCAAAATAGTTGCTCCCAAGTCTTGGTTTGTTTCACACCAGCTCTTTCACAATAGACAGTTAGTTAAACCTTAACAAAAGTACTGTTGCACTTGATAAGATGCCAAAAAGCTCAACTTAATAAAGTTATTGGAAGTTTATCTTTGAAAAAACCATGAAAGCAACTCCTAAAATGTAGTTTTCTATACCCTTTTCCATAAAGGCATGTGCAGATTTGGGATGACATAAATTTGAATTTATTTCAGTGATGTACATTTGCTTTTACAAGATTGATATAGTGAATAACAACTCATTTTCCTCAAGTTCAGAATTGCCTGGTGGGAGGGTGGGTAGACTGCAGACTTTATGGAATTATGTGAAACTGCATTATATAACAACTAATTCAGTAGATTACAATGACATCCCCCCCCCCACCATTTAATACGAGATTCTCTTTTCAAGCAGCCCCAACTCACATGAAGTATGGTCACCTGTCTTACAGAGTCATCCTGGATAGTTTAGAACAACTGATTAAAACTAGATAAAAATCATGGCCTATGAGTCATGGTGGTTAGAATGCAGCATTCCAGGCTAACTCTGCAAGCAGCCAGGAGTTTGATTCTGACTGGTTCAAGGGTGACTCAGCCTTCCATCCTTTTGAGGTCAGTAAAATGAGGACCAAGATTGTTGGGGTGGGGGCAATATGCTGACATTATAAACTGCTCAGAAGGTGCTCTAAAGTACTTTGGAGTGGTTTATGTGTTTAAATGCTAAGTGTTATTAAAACACAACAAGTTTCTAAAGTGTCTCCTGGTAGACTCATTGTGGTGTTGCTGCCGTTACCTGAAGATAATTATGCCAAATTGAAAGGAGCAGCAGGAGACTAGAAGCTATCATTAAAATCTACCCTGCCTATAAATATTCCCAAGGCACATGGAAATTTTCAATTGTCATTCTGAGCTTAAATGGCAAGCAGCACTATCAACTTTTCTAAAATGACCAATAGCTGTTTCCCCAAATATACTCTTTATTACCCATGAATGAAAAGATTTAATAGCTGAAATGTAATTCCTGTGCATTGAATAGAAAATAAGTATATGTACAAGATAGTAACTTCTATTTAAGTAACTTTAATGTGCTCTAAAACTGTTTCATATCTAGATCTGCTTTATAGCAGATAATTGTTTCAAAACCTAATCCAAACACATTTCATAAACATTATTAGAACATAATTTTGTTCACTTTATTTTACATTTCCTTAACATATCAGTTTGCTAGTAATGACAAAATGTGGGCTTTATGTAGGGGTGGGAATCTGTGGAAGGTAGGGGGTGTGTGGGGATTGTCATGTATGTTGGACCTGGTCTCTGGGTGTTATATGAATTTCATTGTATGGGCATACTTTGTACATGCGTACAATGACAATAAAGTAAATCTAAATCTAAATCTAATATGCAATTGAAAAACAAATTGTGTAAAAGATAAAAATGTTTGCATACAGAAATATCTGAAGCAGGCAACGCCCCATTCTGATATCTGATGAGTTTTTATAATGAAATATTTTTTCTGATGTATTTGTTATAAATAAAATTCAAAATGTCTTATTTTTGCTTGTTCAGGGCTGCCTCATATATGTTGTTTATTATGTATATAATCTTAATATATGAAGTAACTACACACACACGCAAACACACTTTCCTAGACGCAACCCAGGATAGTGTACTTGAGTACACTTTTTAACTACAAAACTTTATTAGCCAGAGGGATATAGTTATTGACATCATTATTCTTCTTAGACAGAACTTTTACAACTCCTTATGCAAAATTAAATTGAACTGTTTCTAGACTGTGTGCTAATGATCAAGTGATACATATATGGACACATGTGTTCATATACATGTGAACCAATTTTATACAAATATTAATGAAACTGCAGAATCTTTATTTCAATTAAATTGAATTTGAAACCTTTTATTATTAATGTAATATTTTACATAATTCATTTAATAATTGCTCAAGCAGATATTGTTTTGAATGTGTCCTGCAGTCCAGCACTATCGATTATTAGATTATGTATATGCCAAAGAAATTCAGTACATATTAACTTTGAGTGTATAGTTCATTTGTAGTATTTGTTTTATATGGAGATAAGGACTTGTATTAGACTATTTCCTAGTTGTTTTGCAGTAGAGATAATTAATGATTCACAGATTCTCTGTAGAATTGTTTCCCAGAAGAACATTACTCAAATTATATTATATTCAGGATTCAATGCACTCATGAAAAAACTTAATGTAAAGGTTTAGTGCTGTACCTTGTTCACTCTGAATTGATCCATCATTAAGTAATAATGTTCTATTTATAACAGGAGTCCCCAACCCCCGATCTATGGACTGGCACTGGTTTGCAACATGTCAGAAACCAGGCTACCCAAACAAGTGAAACCCCATCCATGGGATGCAGGCAGAATGTGAAACCACGCCCACTCTGATCTGTGGAAAAACCTCTCCATGGAACCGCTCCGTTGCCTAAAAGGCAACTTTGCGGGCCACTGATTTATAGGATAAATAGGAATATATGAACAAGCTGGGCCAGTTTCCCTTTTGTGACTTAATAACTTAAGCCCCCCCCCCCCCCGCCCCATGTCATCTTTTGCATCCCACAACACAGCATATTCATGGGGC